ATAGGCAGGTGAGTTTTGTTTTCAGGGTTGGAGCTGAACTCTGCAAGTCTGCGGCTCTCTAGGACCGAACTTGCCTACCCCTGCTTTAGACGGATAAAGCATGGAGTTTCAGGAAACCGGCCGGCGCTATGACAGCGAGTCACGGGTTGAAGGGAGTGGTGATGTGATGATTGTGGATTTGTTGCAAGGTAGAAGCGCCTAAGAACTCTCATTCACCGGCATATATGTGAAATCAAAACCAAAACAATGGTCTTTCCAGACAAAGCAAATAACCATGCTCGTGATTTTTAGTTGTTCACTGTTTGGAAACGTTAAGTTATTTGTGTAGATTATTGAAAGAATTGTTTTTGGACCCAAATGGATACACCGCTGACGACGGGTTGAGTTTAAGAGTTTGTAAACTCTTGGTGTGATCTGGCTGTGGTTCGGGGTTGTCATTATGGATAATGGGAGCTCGAGTGAAGATGTTCGGTCTCACCTGGACTCGAGAAACACGGCTACAAAGTTCAAAGTTTACAAAAGGAGACGGTTCATCCTATTTGTACTCTGCCTGCTAAACTGTTGTAACGCAATGGTAGGATGTTATTGGCATAGGCTACTCATTCATTTACAGAGAAATCATGATTCTTTTTTTTTTATTAAGTACAAATATGCCAGGGGAATATAGCTATCTGAATAGACTTTTGAATTACTCCACCTCTACAACAACTTGTGTTTTTAATGGCGTCATGAATCCCTCTTCCCAAGCGCTCCAGCCTGGGTTATGTTTACTTTAAACATTCAATGAAATACAAATTTACGTTTTATACACTTAAAGGGATAGTTCACCTTTAGTTGGTCCCCATTGACTTGCATAGTGGTTTTTATTTTTCTCCATAATATGGAAGTCAATGGGGACTAGCAACTGACGGTGAACTAGCCTATCCCTTTAAGTGCATGTCTGTTAGCTTTCAACTAATATCATACAAGTTGACACATTTGTTTTAATAAATAGGCTATACGCAGTTTTCAGTCCTCTTCTTGCATATTAACATTTTTGTCCAATAAAATGTTTCCACTGAAACTATAAGAATCATGTGCTTTTGACTTGTAATAGCAAGTAGCAAATCATGTTTCACAGCTATGATGTAAACCAAAGCATATTGTCATTTTACAAAAAGAAACAAGCTTTTTGTAGGCCAGGGATAAGCTCATGGATATATGAAAAAGGATCATTGCGATTCATTTAATCAGCATATCATGTTGTAAATTAAAACATCTCAACTAATTTATTATGTCTGTTGCTGCTCAAGTCCCCCAATTTATCCAGAGTTGAACTGATTTTTATGTTCACACTTTCCATAGTGATCAGTCCACTAGGGGCTTCAGTCTACAGGGTCATAACAGGGTCTTCCTAATAGCCCAGCTGTAGTAGGACATGGATACGTCCCCCCGAGGCTATTATATCTGAAGGGGGCGTGCGCCAGAAAGAGGCTTGTCAATCTTAATTATGCACCCGTAGCTCCCGTGGGACCTGTCATTTGCACTGACACCATTGTATATGTGTTACAAGGCCAAGACGTCCAAAGCTGTTCATCTGAAATACGAGAAATCTACATCGTGTCTTGGCACACTGTGTTAAAGCTTAGCAGATGGTGTAATTCAGGGCTTATTTAAAGATTACAATCTTGAGGAAATATGATGACGGCCTAAACCTGTATATGTGATTCTGGATTGTAGTCGCAGGCATGTGTTAAGAATTTTTAAGTATAAAAATAATTTTTAAGTACAATCATCAATGACAGTTCATTTTAGGAAAGCGTCTTATGTTTCACAAAGTGCACAAAAGATTTCCACACTGACTGCAAAACAACATCTATGAATTTGAATTAATGTGAAACAGCGTCCCAGTATGTTGTGCAGTGGTGCATAAAACGACTGTATTGTGTTTTGGGATCAGCTGACTGCCATCTGTCACGCTGCTGCATACATATAATATTCTTGATAGCTAACAAGTAAATGCTATTGTGTACAACACTGCAATTGGCCACTGCACAGTGAATAATGATCAGAAGGGGTATAGCTGTTCTTCATTTCTAAGTGTTTACTCTAGTACCACTGAAATTAAATACTTGTATTTTTACTCAATTACAGTCTGGAGGAAAATAAAATCATATATTTACTAAAATTTTATTTACAATGTGGCTTGACTTGTATAATTGTACCAATAGTTTAAATTCAAGTATCATTTCTCAGTACAATTTGCTGCTTATACACTTGCACGTCACTCTGTGTTTGTCATATTTAGCTCATGTGAGGGGCCCTTTTGACCTGTGGTTTCTGTTTTTTGAACTGAGTTCAAAAAAATGTTGAACTGAGACTTTGACTGTGTCATAGAGCAACTTCATGCACTTCATATATTTAATAAATGGCATATATACATATGTATATAGTTGTAT